CTGTAGCGAATCAATGCGTTTTTGTAAGAAAAATATACATATTCAAAATGTAATAATCATTTTAATGTAGCTTGCACCGACAGTTGTACACGGAAGCCGCTCCGGGCGGATGACGTATGAGTTCAGCTTTGCGCATGCGACGCTCAAAAGTGACGAACGCGGAAACGCAGGGGAGAGATCAAAACAAAACAACGGTCACTTATTAGAAATACAAAACGAGGATTTGTAAAGAAGAATGTCGGAGGATTTCGATATAAGCCAAGAGGAGACTGGTTTTCCTTTGCTAAAGTAAGGAAACTTTGCTTCCTTTGCTCCTGTTAACAAACGTTGGTTTTCAAGAGACTCACCGGCGCATGCGCAACGCTGAACTCATACCTCATCAGCCCGGAACGGCTTCTGTGTACAACTGCTGGCGCAAGCTAGATTAAAGTGATTATTACGTTTTGAATATGGATATTTTTCTTACAAAAACGCATTGATTCGCTACAGGAGGCCTTTGTTCACCCCCCAGAGCCGTGTGACACTTTTTATTTCACTTCTTTTAGACTGAAGCACTGCAACACCCGCTGACTGCAATGATAGAGTTTGGAATAGCCAGGACAATTTTTAATATATTTTATAACTCTGACTGGATTCGTCTGAAAGAAGAAAATCATATACAACTAGGATGACTTGAGGGTGAGTAATTTATGGACTAATTTTCATTTTTGGGTGAACTAACCCTTTAAAAAATGCAAAGCCTGTACGAATACTAGAAATGGTGAAAAATAATTGGGAATCATTTTTTTAAAAAATGGTTACACATTTTATTTATTTATTATAACTTATGTTATTTTGCCTGCCTGACTGTTTCCTTGATCTTTATTAAATAAAACACAGCCTAATTTTCATTTTTGGGTGAACTAACCCTTTAAATCATTCGAGGAATAGACTTTTTGGTCGCTGCAAATGCCCAAAGGTTAACTTATTTCAGTAAATGGCATATTGTAAGCTAGCACAGCTTGATCATTGTCCAATTTATTTTACTTTTTTCTTTTTTTTTAAACTGAACACTGAAAGTTATCAATAATCTTCATGCACATTTTCCTAACTACCTCATTTTCCTTGATTTAAATTTTTTTCCCCCCGGTAGCCATCCAAGGCTTCTCTCCTACACGGAAAATCCGCAACTTCGAAGAAGCTCGTGGCCTGGACCGAATAAACGAACGGATGCCTCCTCGGAAGGACGGCCAGCAACCTGACGGTACCACAGTTAAAACTGCCAACGAGAAAAACGGCACTGATGGGAATGTGTAAGGGGAGATTTTGCACTCTTCCTCTGCTCCATAGCATTTTCTCTTTCTCTGCCACGTTCTCCACAAGTTAGACCCCTCAACTGCCGGATCCTGCAGAGGAGGGCCTGAGATGTGGAGAGGAATCATTCCACAAGACAGAGAGAGAAATCACTTACAACTAAGTACAAACATGAGATTTTATTTATTAAATGAAATGTATTAGATGTACTAGATAGCAACATTTTAAAGACGAGTGAACATTTGAAAGTGCAAAAAACAGGTATACAGTCACAATGTGTCAACCTTTAAACTTCAACTACAGTTTTGTAACTCGAGAACAGAGATGTGGGTTCAAGATGGTGTACAGATCAGAAGATCTAGTTAATCCCAGTTTTATAATATTTTATGTCACAATGTATTTGGCAAGGGATGGTTTGAATATACTGATGTATGTTATCAATAAATGTCTGTAAGGGATTTATTAAGGCAAACCAAACTTAAGGGGAATAAGTTATACTGAAAGTTCATCGAAAAATATTTTATATAACTGTTTAATAATATTCAGTTTCAAGTAAGATTCAGACTAAATGAACATATTAGCTGCTTTGGGTTCCACATGTCTATTTCTACGTGGAAAAACTAGCATTTATATTCATTTTTGTCCGATTACAGCCAGATGACACACCACATGTAAGTAGCCATAACATTGATCTTAAATAGGAGTTGCTTGATTCTACTTGCATGAGTGAAAAAAGCAAAAACAAAGCATGTCTTTTGAAAGCACTGTCACAATCACATAATCTAACGTCTGCATCTGTACTGGAAGTTATTTTAGTCTCTTTAGAACTATCATTGGGCGAACTTTCAGACAAGACTTACTTTTCCTCATTTCATGTCTGCCACACTTATCTTATTGCTGTTTCTTAAAAAAGATGATAGATGAGATTGCCACGCAACAAACCAGTTTTATTTGTTAATATATACAGTGAAATTTGTTAGCATGCCTATAAGCTCATGTACACGTGTAACAGCCAATGTGGGACGTGTGAAGTTGCTTTGATCGACTCAAAAGCCAAAGTCTTTTTGTGCTGTGATGAGTTCGCTGCCAGAGCTCTAACCAACCCCATTTTAGGGTATGATGAGGAGGTAATGGGGTCAGTCTGAAGAATATTGCACTAAATGCAAGTCATTGTAAATAGAGAACACCTATACGTAACACGTAAAAAGCAGGAAGTCCTATTCTCTCTAAAGAATGTCCTCCAGGCTTAATGCAAAGTATTCATCTTTCACTGAGAGACTGCTCGTACAGACTAACGATTTCATCCAGTTTTTGCTCGAGACATTAACAAAGCATGCTGAGCTTGATAAATGTGTCACAAACTGACTTGGTGGTTTGAGCTGTAACACTATGTGAGGTATTGTGGTAAGGTTTTTACATGGCTGCTTGTTTTAACAGGTTTAGGGAAAATTGTGGTATGTGTCCACCTACTGTTGAGATACAGATACAGAACTTTAAGAGACTATGGAGGAAGAGCATTAAGCCTTTTAATGCATGTTTGTATTCATTTTAACAGGAGCAGCAAGTTTTGATTTTTTGATTTTGCGATGGTGTTAAATGGCTGATGCTATGCACGAGCAACGCACCCCATTTTCTGGAAGCATTTGAAATGTACATTTTAGACATCAGTTAATTTTGTAAAATGTTTTTGTGTGTGTGTGTGTGTGTGTTTGTTTTATTTTTTAAATACAGAACCAGTTCTTCACACGAGATTGATTTAAAAGAGTTCATTTTTTCATCCCAAAAGCATGCAAATCTAATAATATGACTAATATGTCATGCTAATCTTTAGGTGTATGAATTCAGCTTTTATGAGAAATCAATATGTGATTGCAGTGCGACCTTCCGGCATACAGCATTTCCTGAAGTGTGTATGTGTGTGTTTTGCATGATCAAATCAGTGCAGTATGTCTGTGGACTCCAAAGGGAAAATTTTCTACATTTATTTGCATGTATTTCAAATGATACCAATGGAAGTACTGAGATGAGATTAAGCAGTTTATCTGGGATCAGGTATACAGTTTTCCTTGAATGGTTTAACAGCGTGTGGGCTGGTCTTGGTGTACTGGCAACCTGAACTTCTTTAGTGGAAGAAAGAGGAAGTTTGAATCTATTAAGTTTCTGTGTGCAATGAAATGTTGAGTATTAGGCCTTCACAGGCTCAGATTCAATGAGGTCCCTGAAACACATCTGTGGGAATGTGTAGAAATGTTTATGCACAACTATAGCATCATTAAAAATACAATATGGGGAATTAATTGAAAAACCATTTTATCAAGTGCTTGTAATGCGAGGCCACCAGAAATTCTTGATATTATGTAGATGTATCAGTTAAGACGACAAAATAAAAACTGAAATACTGTGGACCTCATGTTTGGTCATATTTTGTCTTTTTAAAACAGTCACCTGAATGTGATTCAACATTAAAATATATTTCATTCATACATTCACATTGCATGTTACAAGTTTTCATAAATACAAAACTAAATGGTAAACACACAAATTATGTTTTAAGCATTTTTGTTTGATATCTCTTGAAAGTGCATTGTAACAATTTAAAAATATGTTAAAAAAAGAACAGTTGTTTTCACCTTGGTTGACATTGCAATGAAGAAATAGCTGATCAAAAATCATAAAAAAATCTACTGTACATAAGGCAGGCTCAATTACACAGAAACAGACTGTACAAATAAAATGAAATTTTAAAAAAAGAGATCATTTTCAGTTAAAAACAAACCTGACTTCAAATTCATTATTTAACTCAAAGACAATCTTTTACACGGTCAAATGATAATAATAACTCAGTGTGTCAGTCTCATATTTATGCTAAGCATGTGGCTTATTTTCACAGACATTAGATTTTTCTTGAAGGGTTTACTAAGCCTCAGTCTCCTAACACACTTCTGCAGGTTCTGGTCTACTGTACATAAGGCAGGCTCAATTACACAGAAACAGACTGTACAAATAAAATGAAATTAAAAAAAAAAGAGATCATTTTCAGTTAAAAACAAACCTGACTTCAAATTCATTATTTAACTCAAAGACAATCTTTTACACGGTCAAATGATAATAATAACTCAGTGTGTCAGTCTCATATTTATGCTAAGCATGTGGCTTATTTTCACAGACATTAGATTTTTCTTGAAGGGTTTACTAAGCCTCAGTCTCCTAACACACTTCTGCAGGTTCTGGAGTGACTGGCCATTCCAATCTGCTGCATGGTTCCACTTCTTGAGGTTTGACAGGTGCTAGACATCACACCCTTGGAGGAGGTGGTCTAAGAGCCTATGAGGGGGAGAATTATAAACTTGTCAGATATAATCTTTTTTATCAAAATGTTCTTAGGCTCAGTGACTGGGAGCGTAAACGTATAGTACACCCAAAATTCTGCCCATATTCATTCAGTTCTTCCTAGTTTTTATAGCAGAATATAATACAGTGAATGGTGACCAATGCTGTTGAGCAAGATTTTTAAGGCAAACATTTAAGTCAATAAATTCAATTTTAAATAAAACGGAGTACACATTTAGTTTAATTCAGTGAAAATTGTTTCTACACCAATTTTTTTTCATTCACAGTTATTGCACTTCTTCAGTAGATGTTGAATATTACACAAGTCACATGGACTGCATCTACTTTCAAGAGCAGCACAAATGCTAAACGTTTGGATTCCGCAGAAGCAAGTAAGTCATAATTGGTTTGAAACAACATGAGAGTGAGTAAATGATGACAGAATTTTCATTTTGGGCTGAGCTATTCCTTTAAATACTGATGTGAACATCAGTCATTACACATTATATAGAGTTAGCTTTGCTACCTGCCGTGCATTTATAAAGTCATTATGTAGAACTCTGGACTGGACTGAAGAGGGTGGAGGTGGAGGAGGTGCTGTAGGCCTTATTGCCTAAGAATAAAGAAGAGATCACAAAGTCCTGATCACACTTTCATCATTCACTGGGAATAGATTATGTTTGTAGTTAAATGAAATGATGAAATTAATTAAGTTACCGGAGATGGCTTCTGATTTGGTGTCGACTGAAGGCTGTAGTCAGGGATGTCGACTACATGAACTTTCTGCAGCCTTGGATGGCTATTGAGAAAACAGCAGTATTAAATACACTCCATTTATTGACTTTCCCCAGTGTTTAAGTGTTGGTTTCCTATAGTGTTACCGGAATGAATGTGGTGTGCTCTTTCTGCGCTTGTAAAAGAAGACGGCCAGTCCAAATAGAAGTATCCCAATCAGGACACAGACAACCACAGCAATGGCTATTTTCACACCTTGAAATGCAAAGGCAAAAAAAAAAACTCATTCATGATCCTCAAAACTAAAAGAATATGAGGCTATTTTGAGGGCAATATCTGTGGTACTACCTTTAGACAAACCATCACTTTCTGCTGGTGTTTCACAATCTGGCGGCAGCCATCCAGGTTGACATCTGCACTCCATTCTGTGGTCACAAACCTGTAACATATACACTTACATTAATTCTTCAAAATCAAGTTACAAATTCTGATGTATGTGTAACTTGTGAAAGACCTGAAATAGTCAAAAACCAATGACCTTTTGAAATAAAGCACTTTTTTTTTTCATTTTATGAAGACAATAAAGAAGTCAATGTTCGATAAAGGGATATTTTGGGTCATACCGCATGGCCTTTGCACTTGGCTGAGCAGTTTGTTGCTTTGTAAGCTGTCTCTAGGTCAACACACTCATTCTGGTTACAAACCTGAAAAAAAACAAACACATCGTGCTTAAATGACTTGAATGTCACAACTGTAGCAAACCTACAATGTTTTCAGGTTTCTTTCATTAGAGGTGATTAAAGGAGTTCATAGTTATGAAACTACAAGGAAGTTTGTGTATAACTGGCGTGTATCTAGAGACCAGTCTTACCATCCCTTCCCCACATTTGGTGCCAGTGTCGACTTGGCCATAATCATTTTCAGGATCGCTGTAGAATGTGGCTTTACATTCTTTGAATTTTACCAGCCGTCCATAATTGGGACTTGCATTGCCATTTTCACAGAACAGTTTTCCACACATCACATCTCTGAAGACAGACAGATAAGATTGGTGTTTGATCAGACGGGACAAATATAGTAATTGGACAGTATGATATGTGAAGAGATTAATGAATGACCAGATTGATGTAAAAACTTACCGTCTTTGGCATCCAATATATTTACTGCCATTATGTTTGCAGTAGGCGAAGTATTCTGCTCTTGTGTTGTAGTTGTAGCAAGATTCTCGAGCCACCACAGCAGCTTTATTTATTTTAATAAAAAGAAAAAAACAGGCACAGTCATATGGGCTTAACACTGATTATTTTTCACTATTATTGTGTTGCAACAATATATTATTGTACTCACTTGGACCCCACATTTTAATGCACTGCTCCTCTTTCTGTGGGCACTGGCCATTGTAGCAATAGCCTTTACCATTCTTGCAAGGGATTCCATTGACTGCAAAGACATCTTCAGGACACCAGGCTGATTTTCCAGTACATGACTCGGGCAAATCACAGTCATCATTTTTTGGACGACACACATGTGCAGCTGACATGATCTGAGGGGGAGGAATAAAAAACATGTAGGTTGCATACTTGTTGGTAGTTACCAGTATAAATGAATGAAACCATATGATAAAACACATTTTTGAGATGTTGACATATCGGTTTCAAATTATTGAAAACAATGATACATTACTTTGAATGTATTTATTTTCATATTAAAGCAGCACTATGTAACTTTTTCTGTGTTCAAAATTAGCAAAATGAGCGAGTACATCATGAGTTCATCTTCCAAACCGCGTTTTTGTCTTATTCCGAATCACTACGGTACACTTATAATAAGTACTTATATTTGGACTATTGTAGACTGGTCGGGTCGTCACCGCTGCGGAGTAACACATACCTGCGTGAATCGCCAAAGACATAAACTTAGAGAAGTAGCTCCAGTTGAAATGTTCTTCCGCGGGATGTGTGCAGTTCTGTTTATTAAAGGTGGGGTAAGCGATTTTTCAAAAACGCTTTAGAAAACTGATTCGGGCCGAATAGCAAAACAAACTTGTAGATTTTCTGTCGGGGATTTGTCGTGTCGCATCCAGTGTAGACCATAGATATGTACAGTATATATATCTATGGTGTAGACAGCATCACTGATTATAATGAGTTCTGCTAGAGCGCCAAAAGTTACATAGTGCTGCTTTAAGGGGCTATATTTTGAACTATTTCATTTCATCCCGTGGAGAACAGCGGATTCATTTTATTCTAATCAATATTCATGCGAGGGAACTCCTCAATTATAAAGATTTTGACAAATATATGGGCTTTAGCGGTTTAAGAACTGTTGAAATGCATGGAGTGTGAGTGTATGCTGTAGTAGGCTATCATATGTCCTAAAGCAGCTGTGTTAATCTGATACTTTCTTTATTTGATTAAAATGCCCCAGACTCTTGGAATCTTACCTTACAATTCTCACAACATTCTCCTGTTGCACATTGTGAGCCCTCTGTCAGTTTGCAGGTGGTTGCACTGCAGCATTGGTTTGTACACTCCTATGTAAAAACAGGTTTTGAAATAAAGACAACGAGTATGTTCTGGGCACATAATAAATTGTATTTTTTAAGTACTACTTCTCAGAATCTAGAAAAGCTCTTGGAAAGTAATTTCAGCAATGAATGAATGAACATCCAGGTAAAGTATGCCGTCCATCCTACACAAGTTCTGGCCAAAAAGAAGAGATGACTAACGTAGTGCAATGTATAAACAGATCTGCAGTAATATTACATGCATTCCATCTTTTATTTTGCACACTGCAGAGAGTGTAATTAAGATTATATAGTTAAGATAAATGAGAGATTGTCAATCCCATCTCACTGGACAACATTCCTGTCAAGAATTGTCTTTACATTTGCTTCTGATAGTATGTGGATGTGACTTGTTGAGTGTATCTAGTGAAATTACCATCAATAAAGTCATGCATTTAATTTTTTGTCTCTTTACAACCCATGTCATTCTAAAGGGCATTTTTATGTTTGGTGCTTTACTTTGATATTTGTTGCAAAAACATTTTTCAGATCATTGAATTGTCACATTTAGGAAACCCTAGTCTGCTTACCTTTACCGTTCCACAGTCACATTCTTCTCCTGTCTCCACGAATCCATTTCCACATACAGGTGGCTGAATCAATTCTTTTGGTTTGGGCATATTCAGAAGACATTCTGGGTTTTTGTTGTTCAGGTAGTCCACATAGTTACTAGTACTGCAGCTGCTGAAGTGTTGTGGGATGAAATAGCTGCGGAGACATGGAGCAGTGATATTTGTTCAGAAGATTTAGGCTCTGCAAAAGCTTCAAAATAAAACTTTACAGTAGAAATGGCAGATTTGTTGTTAAAAAACACATTTTAATAAACAAATCAAGTTCAACAATTATATGCATTAAGTACCTGAGGGCAGCTGTCATAATGCAAGTGCCATCAGAACAGACGCAGCTGCTGCTGTCGTGACTCATGCCCAGATTGTGCCCCATCTCATGGGCCATAGTAGCCCCCACTGATATAGCCTTCGAGTTGTGATCCTTTGAAGAGGAAAAATCAGTTAGTACTTAAACTATAGGTCCAGGCTTTTTTTTTTCATTCAAATGTTTGTTTAGTCTATATTATAATGAAGTATTAGGATTATTTTGGGAGGAAGAATAAGGCATTGCAACAATAAGCGAAACACCACAGTCAAGACCATGGTGAATCATCAGTATGCTGTAGTGGAAAATATTTCCTCTTCCCCATTATTGTGAAATTATTCTCTTCAAGGTTTTTGCTAAAACATGCAAATGTATTTGTTAGTAATTTTACTGCATTTGATGAATGAATTGATAAAACACCCCCAACCCATCTCCATACTGGCTTTCTGCATATATCCCTTTCCTTTATTGTGATCCTTTTCGATTATTTATTTTCATTCATGTTAGTTTCATTACATATGTTTGGCAAATATGTTTTTGACTTTTTATGAGAGAATATTAGTACCTGCACAATCCCTGTTGAAAGACCTCCACACAGGGCTCCATTGTGAGCTAGACCCACAGTTGCGCTATCAAGGTCAATTGCACTGAGAGAAGGACAAAAATCCATGTTTAATCCAAATTCAACCAATCCTGCTTGATTATATTCAGTAAGTGGTTAAAGTCTGTCTCCTTCCTGTTTCAGTTCCTAAACCATTTCAAAGTAGAACACAATGGCACAGCTTGGAGCAGACAAAGTATTGATTAACTATATATAAGGTGGGCATTGTCGTGCTGCTGTCTTTTGACGAGATCGCTGTTCCTCCACTGGGTAAATCTGTCCAAGGTTTCTCCAGCAACAGGAGACACTGTTATCTTATCACTATCTGTCCAGACTTCAAATCCAGTTAGAGCAACAAATGTGTTGATTTCTTTATATACCTGCACACCAAAAAAAAAAAGAGTAAAAGATGAGTTTTGAAGAGTTCATTTGCAAAATCCGATAAACGCCACTTTCAAAAAAATGCCGTGCATTATTCTCCACATATAGCGCTATCTGAACCCTAAACATGTTTTGTCAAAACGCCGATTTTGTCCACTTTCAAAGCATCGCGAGTTCACGTTTTACTGCAGTGCAGAAGCCGACAAGCGCCCTTGCTGTTTTTGAACAGAAGCCGATAAATCCATTTTAGCGAATCAGCGCGCAAAAGCAGCGCGTTATACAATGGTGAGGGCATCCATACAGTTTATGATCACAACAACAACAACGTTTGTCAGGCATCTACATTACAAAGACTAAACGAGTGTTTTTTTAAACTCTAAACTATGAAATGTTAAGTTATCTGCTTTTGCCAAAAAAACGACTTTTGGAGTTATCTGCTTTTGCTATAAAACAAACTTTTAATATGTAAAAAAACAAACATACTTTCAATGAAACTTTAAAGCTGCAGTCCGTAAATTTTGCCTCTTTGTCGCCATCTCTGCACTTTTGTTTTGACCAACTAAGGAAAAAAACATTACAATAAATCGCGCTACCAATGGTGATTAAATCTAAAGGTCGGTTAGCTCATATCACATCAAACCGTGCAAATGATTAGTATTGTTATACTTTATTCTCAAATTATTAATGTTAACAATATCAGCATTGCGTGACTACGTGTGTATTAGCGTGTAGATTTCAATTTCTGTACAGTCTAATATCTAATTGTCATACCATTCAAATTTCATATTAAGAAATTCTTTTAACCCAAAAAGCAAACATGCTCCCTTCGAACTGGTTGTCTTTAAAATACAAATGTTGTGTAATCCCAGGCTATCTGTAATCAGAAGCACATTTAAAACTGGAATATAATTTAATTCCATTCACATGTGTTTCATAAACACATAATCCTTTATGGATTACAATCCGCCATCAAAATGATAAATGTAATTATTC